GTTTCTTACCGTAATTTTAAACAATCCTGACATCATTTTAAAAACATGTTGCTGACATTTTAAAAAATAAAGGTTTCAAAAAAATGTACTCCCTCCGTCCCAAAATCCTTGTCTTAGATTTGTCAAAACACGGATGTACCTAGTTACGTTTTAGTGTTAGATACATCCGTATCTAGACAAATCTAAGACAAGAATTTTGGGACGGAGGGAGTACAAGATTTCTTTAAAATGTTATACAAATGTAATTTTTTTGTGTGACTGGAAAAATTTCATACCATTCAAAAAAAATATGTTAGATACTAAAATATGGGAAATGATTCAGATCACCCGACCGATAGCAACATGTACGTACACCGGTTCCGTGGCCGTTAGATAGGATTTTAATATGATGGCTCGGGAGGAATGTATTAACTAGACTAGTTTTCACAATTGAGCTGTTGTTGCAATCCCCCCACTGCAACAAATGGTGTGTCACAGGATCTGGATCTAGATCCTCTCCTGCTCTTTCGAGCTCCTTGTCAAGCTGACAGCACGCGGACGAGGCCACCCACAAGCGCGTCGATGAGGTCACCTCTCCCCGTCTACCTGTGGCCATGGCCGCTCGGGCGCGCACGTCAGAGCTCTGCTCCAGCCGTCGTTCCCCAGCTATGCCGCTTCGGCCCCATGCTGCATCGCCTCCACCACCACCATCAATGCATACGTCCTCCCTTCCCCAACAAGACCGAGCTTCTGCTTGAGGCCATGACCGCAAGCAATGCAACGCGGGGACTTTCTGCAACAAGACATTTGTTGCAGAAAAACTTACAATAAGAAATATGTGAAGAAAATCTAAAAAATATTCTACAACAAGAACTTTGTTGCAAAAAAAATCTGCAATACACCTTTGTTACAAATATTTCTGCAATAAGACATATATTGCAAAAGAGTTTTGCAACATGACTTTTGTTGTAAAAGTAACAACGAAGCTTGACCAGGAGATTGCTTCAGATCGCACAACTCATAGACCGGCGGATCTTTCAAAAAGATCCGCCGGCCGACACGTAGCACAACCCTTAAAATATCTTCACATGTTTCAAAATACATTTGTGATTTTTTAAAAATGTTTATACAACATAACAAAATGTTCACATAGTTTTAAATTTGTTTTAACGTGTATTTAAAAAATGTTTTAACATTTACTCGATTTTTTTCTAAAAATGTAATTGAAAAAAATTATATCATATAAATGTACAATGTGTATGAAAAAAATAGACATCGAAATATATGTTTTATAAAATGTTAAATGTGCATACCAAAATGATCCCGGTGTATACAAAAAGTGTACAATATGTACAGAAAATATAGACATGTGCTGAAAACAAGGAAAAAATCAAAGCTAGAAACTAGGAGAATCGAAACAAGAGAAAAAAAGAGCTGAAGGAAACCAGAGAAAATCACTGCAAACAACTAAAACTTGATAAGAGACTACAGAGGAAAAAACTCGCTTCCACCATGACAGTACTGGTTCGGCCCAGAGGCGAGCCATAGCTCTGCCTCACAGAAGGCGATAAATAGCTCTTGCGATAACACCTTAAGCCTGTACTGTCAAAAGAGTAGGAAGTGCAAGAAGATTAAACAAGTTTGGAGGGAGCTGCAGATCGAGGAGGTCAGGCTTGCTCTTGTGGAATGTGCAACCCCTTTGACCATGTTTGATCACTTATGCTCATTGAAACGACAAGCGTGACTTGGTGCTTATCTTCTTTGGGAATGGCGGAATATTCGAAACAAGGCTAACCAGGGGAAGAAGGTCAAATCCTGTGAAGGGATTTCTAGGTGGGAGAAGGAGGCACTCAAACGCATGCAACTCCATCAATGGCTCAATACTACCAACTCGGGTGCTCTGTACCTGGTGGAAGGACACAGTTGGATAATGGACAGACAGATCATGATTTGTTGTGTAAGGTTAAGTAATGGAATTGGAGAATCCAGCTAAAAAAATCTTGAGTTTGCACTGTAAAAAAAACTCAGTTTCTGTGCAAAGAGAGGAGAATCATTTTATTTCGTAAGAGAGGAAAAACTTTTTTTAATCTAATATAAGAGAGGAAAAAAGAAGCTATATATTTTTCTTTCTAGTAATATACTTATATGTCCCGTTAGTTCCCCTTAGAAAATAGATTATCTTCGCGGGATCGATCTAGGTTTGGTAAATTAGGCTCGCATCGGAACTAGCTGGGGTCCCCGCTGGTGAAGTATAAACACGTGGTGGCGGGGAGAGGCAGAAAGTGACCTGCATCATGTCCGGTAGTGCATCGGTAATTGAGGTGTCCGGTTGTGAGATAAAAAATTAGGACTGTGATATTTGGCACATGTCCGGTTGTGGGCCCTTTTTTGGGCCAACCCACGAGCACGTGTGCCCCTCATGACACTAAATAGTATGTGGCTTTTCCGTGGCACATCATGTGTTGTGTTCATCTAAGAGGCCCTGCGAGGCGAGTGTATGTTTTAACAACTTGTTTTCCTTTGGTAAAAAGTTACCATCATGTTTATATTGTAAGTTGTCGGTTATGCGGTGCTTATATTATCATGTTATTCACACAAAAATTATCGGGGATGTTTTGAACAACTTTTTCCCGAGACAAAAGATTATCATGGTGATTCTAGGTAACCATTCAAGCCCGCTGTGCTTAAAATATCATGCTATTTACAAAATTTATCAGGGGTATGTTTCAGCAAAATTTCCCCCACGGTCAAAAACTTATCATGGTGTTTAGTTATCGCGGTGCATATCTTTTCATGCTATTTACACATAAAAATACCAGGGGAGGGAGGTATAGTACCGTGCTATTTACACAGAAGATACTGGAGTATATTTTCAAAAAAAATCTTCCCTATGTCAAAGTTACCATGGTGTTTCTACCTCAGTTATCAGATGTGCACTGCGTATATTACCATCTATTTACACATAAATTATCTGGTATCTTTTCACATTTTTCTTCCCCAATGGTTAAAGTTACTGCGATGTTTGTATCTAAATTATCAGGTCTATGGTGTGATTGTTATCGTGCTATCTACAGAAATTACCGGGGGCCGGGGTTCAACAAATTTCTTCCCAATGATCAAAGTTACGACGACGCTTTCAGTACCACGCCTTCAGTGCTTATGACCATGCTACTTACACATAATGTACCGCGTGGTACACAAAAGTTATCATGTTGGTGACGCGTCATTTATCGTGTTGGTGATGGAGAATTTACCACGGGAAAAGTTTATGGGCCAGGTTTGATAGGTGAAACAAAAGTTTTTCAGTGCTAAAATATTAAAGGCAAAATATGTCAAAAACAGTATTTTCCTTAGCTTGTTCAACAATGAGTGTCATAGGCGAGGTGGTTAGCTCCCTTCGTTGATTACCAGAGATCAAATCCCAATTCAAGCATTATTTTTGCCCAAAAATCTGGAAGGCGCGTGGGGCCGTAACTGATGATTGAAAGGAAGAAAATCAGGAGGGCGGGAAAGGAAGGAGATCGCGAGGACGTGCACGAAAGGAAGGAGATCGCGAGGACGTGCGGGAAAGGAAGGAGATCGGGAGGGCGGCCGAAACTGACGGTGCTGGATGCACGTGGCAGTTTTGCAATCTGCCACGTGGTTGCCACTTACATATTTCAAAAAAAATTAAGGTGTGACCGGGCAGTGCCTCAAGCTCTGCGGCGGGTGTTCGAGGAGCCCGATTCGCTAAATCCCGACTTTAGATGGATCACGGCACACATCGAGGACTGCAGACGTTTTCATAAACGGCAATGCTACACGTACAAACGATTTACAGGCTTTTACAGGATGGTTAACCTTGATTGGTCAATAGGTGAGCGGGGCGGCCCACTCCCCTGAAAATCAGGGGGGGAGAGGTTTGTGATTGGTTGTTAGATGGAAGGAACATGTAAAAGCGTGTAAGTCTTTAGGCTGGTCACAGTGGGGAGGAACTTAGGAGTAACATCACACACTCCAATACAACTTTGCTTATGTGGCACGTATTTAATGAAGAGAGAGGTGCTTGTGGTAACTAGCTAAGTTACCGGAACATCACACACTCCAAGAAACAATGAGTCTATAACCTAATAAATACATCGTTGCATGACACTACATAGATGTTCCTACCCACTATGGAGGTAGTAACATAGTCTAGGGAAGTGTGAAGTTACTAGCTTATGTTCTTGCCCATTGTGACCAGCCTTATATGTCTAACATTTTTGTTTCATAAATGCGTGCCTCGCGAATTTTCACGGAGCACGCATGCATGCATGCATGGCGTGCTTGTTGTCTTCGGATCTCTCGCTCCTTGCATGGCAGCAACCGCAGTTCCTTTGGAGGCTTTTCACTTCCGGTGCAACAAATCCCCACCAACCCTTGCCTTCCACCCACGTCGTGCTCGTTATAGATAGATCCTGTATTTCCACGCTTCTGCTATCTCGGTGACCATGATACGGTGATCGATCCGTGAAGTTAGTTAAGGCCGGGCACTGTCAGCACAGGAAAATAAAGCCCCAGACCCAGAGGATGAGATGCGACCTGCGACCTGCGCGCGCACGAGACAGAGAGATCTCCAGCGCTCTCGTGAGCGAGCGGGGACGCCGCGTCGCCGAGACACACGTCGAGGCAAGCGAGAACAACGTGCTCGCGCCCGGACGACGTGGCGACCGCCAGGCGCCACGCTCTGCCAACCTGCCATGCATGCGTGCGCGCACGCGCCATTAACAAACTGCGAGAAAACCAGCTAAGCTCCATACCTCCCACCGCTCTCTCGTGCGTACACCAACCACATCTTCTAGAAAAGAAAGAAAGAAAGGAGAAGAGGAATGAACGGACGATCTAGCTCAGAGAAAACAATATACAAAAACCGCCGGGAACGTGCGCGCAGGCCACCGTACGTACGTGCATGCGTGCGTGCCGGTGCACCACGCACGCACACGCGTCCGTACGCCGTACAGGTGCTGAGGTGCTCGGGCATGGCATGGGTCACGGGTGGGCGATCACGGCGACCAGAACCATCTGCCGCCGCCGCGGCCGCCGTGCACGTACGCCATGAGCAGCAGCAGGTCGGAGTCCAGGTCCAGCTCCTCCTCCTCCTCCTCCTCTACCGGCGGCGCCGTCAGCAGGCGGGAGCGACAGAGCGGGCACGTGGCCGGCGGCGTCGCGAGCCACCGGTCGAGGCAGGCGCGGTGGAACACGTGCCGGCACCGCAGCTCCCGCACCTCGTCGCCCTCCCCCACGCCGCTCAGGCAGACCGCGCACTCCACCGCCGCGACCCCGCGGTGCCGCGACACGCGCAGCTCGTGGTCGGGCTGCTCCGGCGCCGCCCTCCTGCCGCACTTCCGCGCCTGCACGGACGGCGACTCCGCCGGCCACGCGTAGTGCGCGCGCGCCAGCGCGCCCACCCCGCGCGCCGCCGCCCGTACGGCCACCGCGATCAGCAGCGCGGCCACCGGAGGCAGCACCGCGGCCATCAGCAACGCGCCCACGCTCGCCATGGCCTCGTCGATCTTCTCTTCCCTCCTCGGCTGTTCACGCACGCACCGTACGTGTCGCCTCGTCGCTCTGCGCGTGCGTGCGGCAATGGCGAGAGCTAGCTAGCTAGGCTCGCGATATATGGAGATCAAGTAGGTAGCTAGGCCGCGCGTGCGGCACCGAGACATGGAGCATCGATTTGACTTCGGGTGTGACACGACGCCGGCATTCAATCCGGGCACCTCTCATGGACAAGGACGCCAGCCCAAAGAGAAAAGATAATACTCTACTCTATGTATCGGTCAGAGCTCGCGTGATCTTGAGTTTCAATGCAACTACTATGCAAGTGTCCAGGCCCCCACCTGTTCACAAAACAAAATTTCCTTTTGAAACTGTTAGATCTTTTAAAAAAAAATTCCTTGTGGTGATGGATTGGTACACAGATCGTATTATCCAGAACAGTGAAGCTGCTCACAATCACGCATGCCAGATGCAAGTTGCGTCTGGTACCTCTCACTTGCAAACGCAGGATGTAAATGCAGTCCAAGCATGTAACTTTCAACCAAAGAAACATCAACCTCCACTGGGGAGGCAATAAATCGTGACAAATGAAAAGTTTACAGCCAGCCTAGGGCCTAGTCCATGTGTACAGTAACCAGGCGAACAAGAAAATTGACCAAGAATAAGGGATGATAGGTACACACACACACACATTATCATCTACATATTGTAGAAACTAAAACTGCTACCAAAGTTTTCATCATACAGTCGGTGACAGATGTACTATTATGCACTGATTCACCAAAGGTGTAACGTAACGTTCAGCTGGAAAAAACTAGCCATGGATACAGCGACAAGTGAACAAGAAGAAATCGAAAACCGAAGAAAGGGACGATCCATTCACAGTGTCATCGCCACATCACAGATTCACGGTACAGAAACTTGAGTAGGCACGGCAAGGCCATCACAGGTTGTGATGCACGCATCCCTTTACAAAAGATACAGCAAACTTCGGTTGCAAAACAAACAAAACCACATTATCTTTTTTTCGAACTTTTTCGAACCATGCAGGGGTCCTGCACGGGTTCGAAAAAAAGATACTGCGATAAAAGCATATGAACACAGGCGCAGGCCATCTATATCTATCCATGCAGGTGTAAAAACGCTATATATGTCCCAAGAGCTCTGCTGTATGTAAAAGCCCTTTGCTTACTTTCCTCTGTGCATGCAGCAACCTCTCATTCCATGCCAAACTGCTTCATCGTCCTGGGGCTGCAGATGAAGTCGAGCGGCGGCTTGTAGACGTTGTCCTGTAGGATCGAGATCTGCCCCTCCTTGACAAGGATGTCTTCTTCGAGGGACTCGATCTTCTTCTTCAGCGACGCGACCTCGTTCTGCATCATGCTGGTGGTTTTGCGGAGCTGCTTCGCTTCCTGCCACGACAGGTCCCTTTCGTCGGTCACGATTTTCAGCTGTCCTCTGAGCGCGCTTAGCTCCTTGGCAGATTCTTGGAAATCCTGCTGGATCTGGTCGATGGACTCGTCTTTCTTTGAACCCTGTTAGATGCAAAAGAATATGTAAGCAAAAAATATACAGGCCGCAGATGATGCTCAAGGTCTTCAACATCCATCAGTAATACATAAGATATTTTCCAAATCCACCTTCTACCAGGCAAAAAGTGAAGTACTGGCTTAGGGAATATATATAGGGATAGGATGTTACCTGAAGCTCCAAATGTTTAGCCTTGTGGGTGATGCAGGATAGTTCATCTTGGACTCTCTGGACCTCATTCCTCATGACATCTTGGATACGAAGCAAAGATGCCACATCCGACCGCAACTGTCCAATGTCAAGTTCCTTTGACAAAAGTGCCTCCTTCAGTACTCTATTCAGAAGAGCCTCTTCTTTCAGCTTGAATTCAAAATTAACCTACATTAAGAACAAAAAACAGGAATATTGGATCGATGATACTGAAACATTTTGAGTTCTCATAAAAGTTTAAGCAGCTTCTGATTTGGCTCATCTCACTGGAGATATCGTATAAAAAACTGAAGTCATGGTTTCCTTATAAAAACATTCTTAAGAGTTGCTCGACAAAAACATTATAAAGACATGTGACTCTCGAAATCAATCCATGGTTTCTTGTTTTATCCAGACGCAGAAAGAAACACAGCAGCATAATGAAAAATAAGTTCTCATGGAATGCGTGCTTTCGTACCAGATATCATAATATTTCAAGTTTTCATAAAAGTTTAAGCAGCTACTGATTTGGCTCATCGCACTAGAGATATCATATGAAAAATCACAAGCCGCGGTTTCCTTATAAAAACAATCTTAATACTTGCTCAGAGGAAAACATTACAATGACATGTGACCCTCAAATCAATCCATGGTTTTAATCCCAACAGAGAAAGAAACACGGCAGCATATAATGAAAAATAGGTTCTCATTGGATGTGTGCTTCCATACCTCATCCGCCTGCTCCATGAGAGGACTACCTCCAACCGCAGTCTCTCCAGATTTTTCTTTCAAATTCTGCTTTTCAGCGAGCACAGCACTGGTTGCCCACAAGCTTCGTTTCAGATTCACGATTCCTCCTTTGATGCTCTGAAGCTCCAGTGTGTAATCTAATGCATCAATATCTCTGTCATGTTCACTTTCATGCCTCCTGCATTTCACATGGTCCAACAATTTGGTGCAAAGTTGGCTACTCTTATCAAGCAACGACAAGCCTTGTGTCTGCAAGTTGTCCACTTTGGCCTGAAGCTCCTGGTCAAGACGAATTGAGGAAAAGCTTGATCCATTATCAGTGCTTTGTAGACGATTTAAGAGTGCAATGTTCTCTTGCCTAAGAGATTCTACTTCAAGACGACAAGATTGAACTTCACCTCTCAACTTCTGCTCCACTCCTGACAATCTGATAAGTTCCATCTGCATCCTATTCTTTCTGTCGCTGCTGGACCGAACAGATTCCTTGTCCAATTCAGCACTGAATCCCTGTCTCAAGCCAGCAATTGTTTTTTCTTGTTCATTGCACATTGTCTGTAGCCTTGCAACCACTTGGTGCAATGCCCTGTTATCACCCTCCTTATCTTTCAAGAATCCCCTGATATGTTCCTTCTCCTCTGCAGCCTTAGAAAATTGAGCATGCAACTCTATTGAAGAATTGTGCAGATTGTTGTGCTCATTTTTCACTTTCTCTAGCTCATCAGTTAGTTTTATGTTCTGCATTTCCAAACTTGCAACCTTATCAGATGCATCAACTTTGTATGCTTCAAGAGAAGTGAGTTCTCTCTGAAATGAGACATTTTTCTCAGCAAGTTCTCTCACCCGTTCACGCAGTCTCTCTTCTTCAGATTGAAATCTCAACAGCCTGGCTGACCAATCGTTTGACCTTCTGTCAATCTCTCTCTCCAAAGTACTCTGTACTTCAGTCTTCTCCTTCTCCATCCTTCGAGTTCTGATCTCAAGTTCTTTCACTGATTGTTTGTACTTGTCTTTGGCATTAAACCTTTCTGCAAGGCGTGCCTTAATCTGTGAAGACAATTCATCTGCTAGCTGTTTCCTGTCTTCAGTCAAACACTGAATCAACTGGAACATTTCATTTGAGCTTAATCGCTTATATCTGGACATGTTAAGCTGATGATTGTCTCCAGAAGGAGTTATAAACCTCTCTTCAACTTCTTTTGCCCTTTGAAGCAACTTATCATCAGTTTCTTGCCCTTCTGGGGCGAAATCCAAGTCACGATCATGAAAATATTGCGGAGCATCATGAATAACTTTTGAAGGTTGCATATCTTGGAAATCCTCATAGATATCTTCAACAGATGGAATACTTTCTGATCTGTAATCTTCTAAATGTGGAAACCTCCCAAAATCATCCAGAACACTTGCATGGTTTTTACTTCCATAGGCATCCTTCGCATCCACATTTGGGTAGGTCTCAACGTTCTCTTTCATGGATTTTTGCAAAGATGGCATTGTATAATGGGGTCGAGGCGGGCGTCTTGAATTCGAAACCACAGATCTAGTGGGAGAGTTCTGCCTCAGCTTCTCATTTTGGATGGCAGCTTCCTGCTCTCCATCAATGTATCGGTCTAGCACTTCATTCTTGTTCAATAAACTGCCTAGCCTCGTAGACCTGCATCGCAGGGCAACAGGGGAGGTGGGAGGAGAATGCCCTGTTGAGCACGAATAGCATCTTGAACGAGGAGAATCAGTTTCCAGGACTGAACATGGTTTTGGAACCTTTATTGAGGATTCTCTTAAGACCGGATGCCTTTCTGGTGAGCAGGCATAGTGACTGCAAGTAAACAATCAGATTGAGTTAGGTAGAACATTTTATCAGACAACTGATACAGTAGAACTGTTGTCGATAAAACGGAGCTCAAACACAAGATAATTCCTTAACTATGAAGTAAAGATTGAAAAAAAGGGCGCATGAGATTATATCAAGTACAAGCAATGGAGTGGTGAACGATGCCTTAAAGAAAGCTGCATGTGCACTGAAACTGAACATTTTGCAAGAAGGGCCTCTGCCAAATAAATAACTGAGCATCTATAGTAATACCTCATGAGCTAAAATGAGTAAAGTTGACAGATGCACACAACGAACAATCGAACATATGCTGAGGAGTTTCCTATTTTCCGTTTCTTCTCTTTACAGGCATGGATCAACAAGACCATGGGGTGTCAATAACAAATACTGGTTTGATCACGGTAAAACGGCCTAGTTATATGGGATTACCGTGTAATCAGATTCATAACATTCCTCAAAAAAAGTAATGTAATCACAACAACTTACTTGACATCTTCGGTGTGATGAGGCGCATCAGATTCGTCATAGAAAGAACTGGGGACATCACCCGAGAAGCTAAAGCTCCGTTCCTTCAGGCCATTGTTCGCAGCCGCGGATGAGAACGACATGCACCTCCGGAGCTGCTTCGGATTGGCTGGCTCCTCGTTGCTCAGCCTTCCGCGGCGGCTTCTCGATCTAGACATCCTTGCGCCGTGGTCATGGGACCTGGAGGTAGAGTTGCAACTACCCTCACCTTCCTCCAGCGCCTTCTTACTCCTGTTCTTGCTCTGGCCGTCGTCACCTGGCGCCCCGTCGCCGTTCCCGTCCTTCGGCGTGGGGGACCCGAAGAAGAAGAACCTTCTCATCTTTTAACGGGACTGTTGTGATTCCAAAATTCAGTGTCCCACCAATGAGTCCCTGCATGGATCGGATCTTGCTCAGATTAGAAAACCATGAAAATAAATCTGACAGCAAGTTGACCTGCTGAAATAAAAACACTGGTTAACCCGCAAATAGATTGCAGAGAAGCCAGATGCTGCACCAAATCAATTTTTTTCTTCGGGGGGAGTAGACAAGAACAGATGAACAAGGGGTTTCGGAAACGGACACGAGAGGGTATCGGCAAGAGATCTCTAACGGCAACAAAGTTCCTGGAACTAGGCATACGCTTTGCAAGAAACCCAACCGGCGTGCCCTCGCCGGCCGCCGCGTGTACCGAGGCAGGGCCAGGAAATTGGTCGAACAGGTTACATGCACACAGGACCAACAAAGCAAAGAACCCAGAATTCAGAGCCTCCGAGCTGGGAAGCACCAAACCCAACCCGGAATTCAGGAACAGCCTCGCGAACCAACCAAGAAGGAGGCTGACCGGCGAGAAACGGGGCAGGCGGCGAGAGGAGGAGGGGGGC